GCTCTGTAGAGCAGTGGTTCTCAACCTTCCTGATGCTATGACCCTTTAACATACTCTTCATGTTGTAGTGACCCCCGACCTTACAATTATTTTTGTTGCTACTTTGTAACTGTAGTTTTGCTACTGTTATGAACCTATGATTTCTGATGGTTTGGGGCAACCCCTGTAAAAGGATCAGTCAACCCCAAAGGGGTCGTGACCCACAGGTTGAGAACCACTGTTTAGTGCTTTTCAGTGGATAGAGCCTTGCAGAAGGAAGTGACTGACGGGACAGTGGGCCTTGAGTTTTGCAGCAATTCTGTGATTCTGCCCCGTGCTCTGCACGCTGCTCTGATGGATGACCAGATACTGCCAGCCCCATCTTGTTCTGCCACAGCCTCAAGCAGCGTCTTCCCTGCCATGGTTGACTGTAACTCCAAACTATGAGACAAAATAATATGTTCCCCCTTATTTTCCTCACCACCAGGTATTTGATTACAGAAAAAAAGAATGTCATTAATACAATCATCTCTTGGTGACTGGTGATTGGCTGCAACAAGTTTAGTAGACAGTGCATATGGGAAACAGACATCTCCAGAGTGGAACTCTCAGATAGCCACATTTACACTCCAGCTTGGGCATTTGCCTTTTCAAGCTTTAGTTGTTTTTAACTATAGGTAAGGATCACACCATCCTGGTCGAACTCAAATGATTCTGATGATGACGACTTCAGGCAGAGTATCTTACACACAGGATTGTTGTGCCATCTTTGCTGATTGTGATGGCACAATTGAATAGAATGTGGGCACAGTTGCCTGTGGCCAGGTGTTCACTGCCACACATACTACATTGTGTGCAATCACATACAAGCCAGACTAATGAAACTAGAAAGAAACCCTCTTGAAGCAGTGAGATACTTTAAAGTCAGGATGGAAAAGAGTGAAAGTAATTGACTAAATAATAAAAGGATCATATTTGGTAAGCTGAGAGTAGGAATCTGCATAGAGAAAAAGTGGGAGGCATGGAGAAGACAGAGAGACAACATGAACAGAGAAATCTAGAAGGAAAGTTCTTAGAATTAGTGGCCAATGATTTGGGGCTTCATCAGAGGTCATTTAATACTTCTTAGGTAAAGTGTTCACAGCACTTAGGATAGAAGGAAGCCCATCATGCTAAAACTCTCAGTACTCCTGGAGGCCATCTCATTGCAGTACGACAGAGCCTGGCTCTAACTTGGCAAGGTCTTTCGACCCAAAGGGTCCTCAGAAAAGATTTTTATATTGTGCTAAGTATCCGTGTTGAGGCTGGAGGCCTGGGGGCTGAAGGATTCTACTGAGGTCCTCACCAACAGCTTTGATGCAAGGTTTATTGCAACAACATATCAGAGGCTGTAAATGCATCTTCTCCCTCCTCCCTCCCTTCCTCTGGCCATCCCTCCTTCTCTCTGCCTTTCTCCATCCCTTCCTTCCTTCCTCATTTATTAATAGTTTTTACCATGTGGTTATTTTATTTGTTGTTATTAGGTCCTAAACTCTAAAACTGTGATATACAATAGAAACAACACCCATGCCCCACAGAGGCCCTGCTTCCAAGCTTGTGCCAAGGAAGTCCATCTAGCTAGAAAGGGGTCCCTGAAAGCGCTGCTTAATTAAACTGATCCATTGCAGCAAGCGCAGGTTTATTTCATGAATATTAAAAGACTGACTCAGTGAATGAGTTTATGATATGAATCTAGAGCTGGCAAAAATTATAAAAACCCAGGTCCCCAGCGAAGACGTAATGAATAGGACTCATTTCTAGGAGAATAAACTGGTGCCTCTCTCAAAGGATTTAGAGTTTTCAGCAGTGTAGTTAGCATCCATGGCCCTATTAAAAGCTCTTATTTTCTCCTAATTTGTGCCATTTAGAACTGATTTTCATTTAACTTTCCCACGGCTCATTTCTCTCCTGCAGAACATTTTCATATGATTCCCTGATAAAGTCCACGTGGAAACACATTTCATTATAAAGCTATAATAATAAAATCAGCACCGGCCAAACAGCAATACACACTAGTCAGAGAGAAAAGATGGCAGCGAGAAATCAGACTCCAAATAGTTAATCTTTCTTTTTAAAATTCCTGTTGCATTCTTGCCTAATGTGGGTGTTTTTCAACCACCTCCCCCAGGAAAGGCAGGCCCTAGCCTGATGAGCAAGGGCTTTATGAGACAGAGCTCATTGCTCTCCTTCATGCCAGATCTTCAGGAAATGGCAGCTACCTCCTTTGAGTTGCATTTTATTGTCCTTTGTAAAATATTCCTGGTGCCATAGAGTGGGTTGCACTGGGAGAGTTAAATGAAAGGCATCTTGCAAACTGGGTACCTTCAAAAATATGTTAGAGTTTAACCAAGATCTTCCAAAACATAGCCTTTTTCTGCCTCCTGTCAAAGACTAACAAGTGTCTCTGTCTCTCTGTCTCTCTGTCTCTCTCTGTCTCTCTGTCTCTCTGTCTCTCTGTCTCTGTCTCTCTCTCTCTCCTCTCCAGCAAACACATATGTGAAGAGTATAAATTGTGGGTGTTTTTCTATATTCTCTCAGTATTATTTAAGGTCCAAATTATACAGATTGTTAATAGTTAAAAAAAAAATACTAAGATGCTGAGCAAAAAAGAGATAATCAGACAGGGTAGAGCTAAGCCTTCCATGAATATTTCCCCCTCAGCCTTGCATACCATGGCCCTAATCATCATCCTGGGCTGGAGTATGTGGGCCTTAACAGCACAGGCTATGGAGATAGAGGTGTTGGATTTATTTGGGCTTTGAGGGAAGACAGGCATTAATCATCGAGAATGAACAGGATTGATATAGAGCCCATGGTTGGGAATATAGCTCACCAGTACAGTACCTGCTCAGCCTAGACAAAGCTGTGGATTTAATTTTCAGCACTAAAAATAAACAAAAATGGAATATAGATATGGAGAAAGGAAAACACCAAGTAACCTCATGAGACTGGAGAATGTCTTTGAAAAGGAACTGAGAAGATGGCTCTTCATCTTCCTCCACAGACCTTCTCTGCTTTGCAGTAGTCTGTCATTGTGGTTAGCTTCTCAGACCACCGGAGACAAAGGAATAAAAGACAGCAAACTGATGCATTCCAAGGCAGGTACATGCATCTGAGCAGTTTTTCATTTCCCGTCTGATCTTAGGACTTACATGGGAGGGAGCGTGGTATAGAAGTGTAAGCTCTTCTTGTATTGATAGCTTAAGAAAACTGGGTATGTTACCCAAAGGATTTCCCATTCATTTTCTATTCAGTTTAGCTTTTAAATTTAATTTTGATCTATTTCTTAGATGCTTGAAGGGATTCCTTGTGTCTTCTTGTGTTCCATATTAAAGTGTTTATGAAAATACATATTACTATGCATTAAAGGATATGGACAGATAACACAGAAATTCAGAGAAAGCCACATTCTCCTGGTGTGCCTGGGAAAGGTAAATCCTTGGTTGTTAGCTTAGTACCTGTCTGGCAGAATCTTACATTTTTTGTTTTGGAGATTCTCCTCTTCCCTCTACTGTCCTATGAGAGTAGGAGCAGACTTTCTCGGCTGTAAATAGCTGCCTCCTTATTCTACTATCAGAAGGCTTTCGACCCTGCCACTCCATTCATGTCAGCTATTACTTAGTCCCTCCCTCTCCCCACACCCACGTCCCCTTCTGTCTTCCTTTCTCCTTTGATTTTGCCCATACATAGTCTTCACCCCGTGTTCTCCTTTTCCTTGTGAGCTCTGTGTGCCAGGGCTAAATAGAATTCCAAGGTTAAAAATAATCCCTGACATTGTGATTCCTAAGAACTAGTGTCTCCAATCACTTTCTCACATGTGATTTCAGCAAGCATGTTGGCAGTGCTCCAATCTTTGATTGTCTCATTACACTGTGCTTTTCCTTGCATTTAGTAGGAACCTACAGGCTGTGTTTCTATTGGATGGCTCTTCCCAGTCTTCTTCTACAATGGAATTAGAAAGGAGGTCATGGGAAAATACTAATATTTGGCACTTGTTTGAAAGGAAAAGCTTAATTACATCTTTAGTAGTAGACTGCACCCCTCTTTTTCATTCTGCCTGTTCCGGAGTCATCTCTGTGAGCCAAAAGGTTCTATTTTCACTATGCCTCTTACAATACAAGAAGCCAGCATCTGTGATGAGAAACAATGAATGTTCAATGCAGCAACAAAGAGACCTCAGTTGCCTGTGGTATACTGCAATACATTCAGGAAAGGCTTAACAGTGCATAGGGAAGAGCAGCAGAGTTCAATGTCTTCACTACTTTATTTTTTAATCTTAAAATTATAAATATCCTTGATAATCATATCAAATGAGTAACACGTTGGCAGTATCTATCTTGTAGTGTGTGTGTGTGTGTGTGTGTGTGTGTGTGTGTGTGTGTGTGTGTGTGTAAACATACTCATTTTAGCTACACACTGAAACCATTCTACAAATAGCTACATTCCTATAAGCCACAATGCTCAGGAGGCTGAATGGCTGCCTGTTAGCATTAATCATTTGGAGGCAAAAAAAATTTTTTTCAATGTAAATAATACCACTTTTCTTATGCATTCTAAAACCTCCCTCAAATTCAACAGTAAATTTGCTTTACATGTGTTTGTTTCAATTGACTTGGTAAAGCATATCTGGGAATATGATATATCATCTAATTGAGAGCTGGCATCTAAGCGATATGAGCAAGCTCTTTGAGGAAATGGAATGATAATGGAATGTCTGCTCCCAGCATGGGAATGGCTGTCTTTTGTTCTTGTTTGAGAAGGCATACCATCAGACTTCAGTTGATTTTCTTGTGTGCTTCTTCAGGCAGCTTACTAAATTCAGAGAGGGCACATACGTCTTCTTTTAGGGGGATGTGATTTGGCTAATAGACCTCAGTGTCATTTCTCAGGTTATGTTCTGCAGGCATTACTAAAGGATTTTCTATGACCTGGATAGTTGCACATAATGTTTTTTCTTTTTCTTTCTTTCCTGCTTTTGACAGGTTCATGAAGCAGTCCCATGTTACAGTGAGTGCAATCAATATTCCTGGGTTGTAGAACACTGGTCTCCATGCCAAATCAACAATGAGCTAAGATCTCCACGCTGTGGAAGAGGAACACAATCTAGAAGAATCAGGTGTGTGACATTGAGGAGATAGAGCATTTGCGATCTTCCTAAAAACATGGGTGTTGCTATCAAGAAACCTGATGATATCCATTCCGTGTCCTCTGACTCTGCTCAGCTTGAGAATACATGGAAACAAGTATGTCCCTCCTACCCTGTGAGCAGTGAGAAGGCCTCTGCAGTCCACCATTCATGGTCTTTACTCTTTCCCAATTATATTGGGGACATTCCATTGTAAGGACCAGATCAGTGTCCTTCCATTGACTCCCAGCCACCACTGCTAACATACCAAGAGGTTATCACTGATTTGCCATTTCTCATTTCAGCATTGATAGCTTTTAATCTATTTTGAGATTTTTTTGCATCACACTGAAAAACTTAACTTAAACCATCCAAATACCAAATACCAATACCCAAATACCAAAATTCAATGAGATCTATATATAATATTTATACATAATCTTAACATAAAAAGCACACCTATAAAATAATTGTAAATTCTGGGTCTCTCTGGGGAAGCTTGTCAAAGGATTTTGTCATACACATTAAGCACTGAAAACAAAAACATCCTATGCCTGAATTTGCCAGGTTGGTATATATAGAAATAACTTATAACCGAAGAACAACTGCTTTCACAACAAGGTATAATACAAATAAAATTTTACCATTTGGACAAATAAAAGTTGAAGTATTAGTACACAGTTAGCAGTATGTAAAATAAGAAGAAAGATTAGTGTCATCATTACCCACCTGAATAGCACAGGGCATTAATTTTTCTTTTTTTAATTTTTTGAAGTTTATTTTACCAAAATCCTGTTGAAAGCATGGAGGAAAAACATTTTTTGCTTTAAAATATTTTTCCATTTTTTATTTGAATTAGAAACAATATTGTTTTACATGTCACTCCCAGTTCCCATTCCCTCCCCTCCTCCCCTACTACCCCCTCCCCAACTAAAACCCTACCTATCACATATCCTTTCTGCTCCCCAGGGAGGGTGAGGTCTTCCATAGGGTGTCATCAGAGTCTATTATATCCTTTTGGATAGGGCCTAGGCCCACCCCCGTGTCCCTTGGCTCAGAGAGTATCCCTCTATGTGGAGTGGGCTCCCAAATTCCAAACCTATACTAGGGATAAATACTGAACTACTACAGGAGGTCCTGTAGATTTCCGATGTCTCCTCATTGAAACCCACATTCCTGGGGTCTGGATCAGTCCCATTCTGGTATCCCAGCTATAATTCTGGGGACCAAGAGTTCCCCGATGTTCAGGTCAGCTGTTTCTGTGGGTTTCACCAGCCTGGTCTAGACCCCTTTGCTCTTCACTTATCCTTCTCTGCATCTGGATTCCAGTTCAGTTCAGTGATTAGTTGTGGGTGTCTGCTTCTACTACCACCAGCTGCTGGATGAGGGCTATCAGGTTGCATATAAGTCAGTCATCAATCTCATTATCAGGGGAAGGCATTTAAGGTAGCCTCTCCTATGTTGCTTAGATTGTTAGTTGGTGTCATCTTTGTAGTTCTTCAGACCTTTCCCTAGTGCCTGATTTCTCTGTAAACCTAAAATGCCTCCCTCTATTATGGTATCTCCTTTCTTGTCTTATTCTATTCTTCCCCCAACTCAACCTTTCTGCTCCCTCATGTCCTCCTCACCCCTCCTCTTCTCCCCTTCTCATTCTCCTAGCTCCCTCCCCGCTCCTCCCATGCTTCCAATTTGCTCAGGAGATCTTATCCCTTCCCCCTTCTCCAGGGGACCATGGATGTATCTCTTAGGGTCCTCCTTGTTTCCTAGCTTCTCTGGTGGTGTGGTTTGAGGCTTGTAATCCTTTGCTCTATGTCTAAAATCCACTTATGAGTGAGTGCATACCACATTTGTCTTTTTGTGATCGGGTTACATCTCTCAGAATGGTTTCGTCTAGCTCCATCCACTTTCCTGATTCCATTTTTTTCTGCTGAGTAGTACTCCATTGTGTAAATGTACCACATTTTCTCTATCCATTCTTCAGTTGAGGGGCATCTAGGTTGCTTCCAGGTTCTGGCTATTACAAATAGTGCTGCTATGAACATCATTGAACAGATGTCTTTGTTGTATGAATGTGCTTCTTTTGGGTAAATGCCTAAGAGTGGGATTGCTGGATCTTGTGGTAGACTGATTTAGTTCTGATCCCCACTTTTTAATAGGATTGTTTGGTGTTTTGGAGACTCGATTCTTGAGTTCTTTGTATATTTTGGAGATCAGCCCTCTGTCAGATTTGGGGTTGGTGAATGAATATCTTTTCCCAGTCTGTGGGCTGCAGTTTTGTCTTACTGACTATGTCCTTAGCCTTACAGAAGCTTCTCAGTTTCAGGAGGTCCCATTTATCAATTGTTGATCTCACTGTCTGTGCTACTGGTGTAATGTTCAGGAAGCAGTCTCCTGTTCCAATTAATTCAAGGGTATTTTTCACTTTCTCTTCTAATAGGTTCAGTGTGGCTGGATTGATGTTGAGGTCTTTGATCCATTTGGACTTAAGTTATGTGCATGGTGATAGACATGGATCTATCTGAAGTCTTCTACATTCCAGTATCCAGTTATGCCAGCAGCATTTGTTGAGATGCTTTCTTTATTCCATGGTATAAATTCAGATTCTTTGTAAAAAATCAAGTGTTCATAGGTGGTGATGCCTCCAGATGTTCCTTTATTGTTGAGAGTTGTTTTGGCTATCCTGGGTCTTTTGTTTTTCCATATAAAGTTGAGAATTGTTCTTTCAAAGTCTGTGAAGAATTGTGTTGGGATTTTGATGGGGATCGCATTGAATCTGTAGATTGCTTTTGGCAGGATTACCATTTTTACTATGTTAATTCAACCTATCCAAGATCATGGGAGATCAGTATATTTTTTAATTTCTTTCTTTAGAGACTCAAAATTCTTATGGTACAGGACTTTCACTTTTTTGGTTAGTGTTACCCCAAGGTATTTTATGTTGTTTGTGGCAATTGTAAAGGGTGATGTTTCTCTGATTTCTTTCTCCACAAATATATCATCTGTATACAATAGGGCTACAGACCTTTTTGAGTTAATCTTGTATCCTGCCACTTTGCTGAAGGTGTTTATCAGCTGTAGGAGTTCCCTGGTAGAGGTTTTAAGGTCACTCATGCAGACTATCATATCATCTGCAAATAGTGAAAGTTTGGCTTATTCCTTTCCAATTTGTATCCCCTTGATCTCCATTTGTTGTCTTATATCTAGCTAGAACTTCAAGGACAATATTGAGGAGGTATGGAGAGAGTGGACAGCCTTGTTTGTCCCCGATTTTAGAGGAATTGCTTTGAGTTTCTCTCCATTTAATTTGATGTTGGCTGTCGGCTTGCTGTCTATTGCTTTTATTATGTTGAGGTGTGTTCCTGTTATCCCTGATCTCTCCAAGACCTTTATCATGAAGGGGTGTTGGATTTTGCCAAAGGCTTTTTCAGCTTCTAGTGAGAGGATCAGGGGTTTTTTTTTTTCCTCAGTCTGTTTATATGGTGGATTACATTGATGGAATTTTCATAGGTTGAACCACCACCCTTGCATCCCTGGGATGAAACCTACTTGTTCATGGTGGATGATTTCTCTGATATGTTCTTGGATTCGATTTGCCAGTATTTTATTGAGTATTTTTGTGTCAATGTTCATGAGGGATATTGGTCTGCAGTTCTCTTTCTTAGTTGTGTCTTTGTTCAGCTTGGGTATCAAGGTTATTGTAGCCTTGTAAAAAGAGCTTGGCAATGTCCCTTCTGCTTCTATTGTGTGGAACAATTTGAGGAGTATTGGTATTAGCTCTTCTATTTTGTGGAATACTTTGAGGAGAATTGGTGATAGCTATACCTTCAATTTCTGATAGAATTCTGCACTGAAGCCATCTTGTCCTGGGCTTTCTCTCTCTCTCTCTCTCTCTCTCTCTCTCTCTCTCTCTCTCTCTCTCTCTCTCTTTTTTGGGTGCCCACATGGGAAACTTCTGATGACTTCTTCAATTTCATTAGGGGTTATAAGTCAATTTAAGTTGCTTATCTGTTCTTGATTCAATTTTGGTAAGTGAACTCTGTCCAGAAAATTATCCATTTCCTTTGGATTTTCGAATTTTGTGGAATACATGTTTTCGAAGTATGACCTGATAATTCTCTGGATTTCCTCTGTGTCTGTTGCTATGTCCCCCTTTTCATTCCTGATTTTATTAATTTGCATGTTCAGTCTCTTCCATTTGGTAAGTTTGGATAAAGGTTTGTCTATCTTGTTGATTTTCTTAAAGAACCAACTCTTTGTTTCATTGATTCTTTGTATTGTTCTCCTAGTTTCCACTTTATTGATTTCAGCCCTCAATTTGTTTATTTCTTGGTATCTACTCCTCTGAGGTGTATTGGCTTCTTTGTGTTCTAGAGCTTTCAGTTGTGCTGTTAATTCTCTAGTGTGATTCTCCTGTTTCTTCATGTGGGCACTTAGCACTATGAACTTTTCTCTTAGCACTGCTTTCAAAGTGTCCCATAAGTTTGGGTATGTGGTGTCCGCATTCTCATTGAATTCTAGGAAATTAATTTATTTTTTTATTTCTTACTTGACCCAAGAATTGTGCAATTGGGTGTTACTTAATTTCCATGAGTTTGTAGGTTTTCTGCCATTTGTGTTGTTGTTGAATTCTAACTTTAAAGCATGGTGGTCTGGTAAGATACAGGGGGTTATTTTAAATTTTTTATACCTGTTGAGGTTTGCTATGTTGCCAAGTATGTGGTCGATTTTAGAGAAGGTTCCATGTGGCACTGAGAAGAAGGTATATTGTTTTGTGTTTGGGTGGAATGTTCTATAGATGGCTGTTAAGCCCAATTGGGCCATAACTACTCTCAGTTCCTTTGTTTCTTTGTTAAGTTTCTGTCTGTTGTTCTTGTCCAGTGGTGAGAGTGGGGTGTTGAAGTCTCCCACTACAAGTGTGTGCAGTTTTTTGTGTGATTTGAGTTTTAGTAATGTGTCTTTGACGTATGTGGATGCCTTTGTATCTGGGGAAT